TCCATCCATCCATCATCCATCCATCCATCATCCATCATCCATCCATCATCCATCCATCATCCATCATCCATCATCCATCCATCATCCATCATCCATCCATCATCCATCCATCATCCATCATCCATCATCCATCATCCATCCATCATCCATCCATCATCCATCATCCATCCCTGTGTCAGGACAGGTCAGGGCTGTCTCTCCCCCCACCCCAAAGCCCCCCCTGCCCTCCCCACACCCCATCACAACATTCCCAACAAAGATTAAAAGCTTCTCAGTTTATAAATTTTATTAGCTGGAGAGTGTACACAGTACTTACAATTGCATCTATTAAAGACCAAAATACACTTGAAAAAATGCATCATATAAAAAAAATTAAAAACTTTGATCTATGTACAAACTTTGCCTGACATTATGTTAAGCTCAGGACCCTCCCACGCCCCTTCACAAAGAAAAGTTTATTTTTTCCCCTTTCTAACATGCATTTAGCATCACTTGAGGACCTTTTTTTTTTCCAAAATCCTGTTCTTTACACTCCTTTAAATCTGGGTCTTGATGGGTTTGATGCTTCACTGCTCTGGGTCAATCAAACACATTTCTCCCCAAGCCTCTTCTTTCATCCTCACCCACTCTTTAAAGTGGAGTTTTTGCTCAAGTGTAGCCAATCTACAAAGAATTCTCATTTAATTACTAGGGAGGTTTGAACTGGACATGTCTCCAATTTTAACCCATTTCCCAGGAATACAAAGCAGATATTTTTGGTACCGTGGTGTTGACTGCTGGCTCCAACCTCTCACCAAATAAACACAGTGATAAAATGAACACAAAACAAATAAAAATATGACAGGAGCACTCAGGCTTTCACATCACTATTTAAAATATTAACAGTAAGACTTTCTAGAACACAAATCTGTATTTCTTCACACACAACCTACAACAGCAGATCAGAGAACCTAGAAATGAAGGGATATTGGGAAAAAAAAGTTTACAAGTTCTTTAAGAAAAGTAATTACTCATTAAAAAAAAAAAAAGAAAAGAAACAAAATCTATGTCAGAGCTATAATCTTGTTTCCCAAACTTCCAGCTCTCAAAAAGATGTTTCAGGACAGAGATTTACCATCAACTGAAGAGTAAAAAACATCATGGAGAGGTTCTTACTCCAGCACACAAATATTTCACCAACAAAATGTACAGATGCTCCAAAAAAAAAAAAAAAAATATTTACAGTAATGCTGCAAACCCAACTAAAATCCCTTAAGGAGAGCTTCATGTCCCTGAAATGGGGGAGACCCCAGGAAATGCTGCAGGAGGAAAATGAACTGAGGAAAAGCAGCACTGTGCTGGAACTGGGCAAGGATTGAAGGCAGAAGCAACCAGAGGCCCTGACAATGCCATTGATGTTAAAAACGCCCTTGAAATAAATCAATAAATATCAGAAATAAATGCTAATTAAGAGTTGTGAGCAGAGTGTGAGATTATTGGTGTAACTCAGGACAAAAACTGAAGTTTATTTGCCAGGTCAGCTCCTCCTGCAGCTGTCCCTGAGCTCCTTCCCTGCTCCAGCTGTGGGGAGGGGACAAGGAACCAAAATTCCCACCAAGGAGCTGAGCTGCACTCAGAGCCAGCAGCCAATTCCAAACCCCTCTGCTGACCCCCCTGTCCTTCCACAGGGCATCCCCACACCTGGACAGGCTCCTCTTCCTCCAGGATTGCCTGCTCACAACAAGGATCCAACATTTCTCCTCCATACTCTCAGCTGGAATATTTTTCTTTCATCCAAAGGAAATAGAATTTTCCAGGCTCTGTTGTTTTGTATCCTCCCACTCCCCTACAACTTGCTGATTTGTCCTCCACTTTGTCTTTAGCCAAATTAAAAAACATGGGAGGAAATATAATTTTCAAGCTGCATTTTTTTTTTTTTGTCACTTGATATCAGCATTCACTGAATTTAACCCATTCTCACCCATCCTTGCCTGCATTTCCTCAAAAATTCCTCATTCTTCAGCTTCACCTGGCCAGGTTCACATTTATCCAGCAATATTCCCAACCCCAAACTTCACTGCTGTGATGCAGTTTGAGCTACAGGACACAAAAACTGGAAAATCCAGCAGGCAGATGATCCCCAGAGCAGCTCATCGAGATGGGAGGGGGAGAAATCACCTGTTAAATGCTTTTAACTACTGCTCCCATCACCAAAATTCAAATTATAACAGAGCAGGCTTAGAATCGAAATTAAAGCTCTGGTCTGTGGAGATGCTCAGCCTAAAGCCAGCTGTAGGTCATGGAAAAATCCTATTTTTTAATAATGTAAGTATTGCTCCTTCACTAAGTGCTACTTTTCTTTTGTTTTTAAGAGCTTAATTTATAAAAAGCATGAAAGGTTCATCAATATCTGCCTTCAATATCTGCTGAGTCTTTCAGGTACCTCAGGTTGAGCTGCCCCAGCTGCTGCTGTCCTGGATCATCCATCCCTCACTCTGGAATTGCAGAACTGATTCAGGCATCAGAAACTCCATCCCAGCAATGGCCAAGTGCCACCACTGTGACACTGAGGGTTCCACATCTCTTGGAGGAACCATGGACTTCACTGGCAGGTGAGAAAATAAGATTTAAATACAACAAAAACAACAACAAAAATAAAATCCTTTGGAAGAGACTCAAAAGTTTCAATCCTTTTTATACTCAAATCCAGTTTTCTTCCAAAGCAACAAATACTGGCAATGAACACCCAAAACCACCCAGAGACTGATTTACTGACCCAATCCCCCCCACAAACCCCCTCTCCCACCCCCACTTGCAACAGAGACACAACACATCAAGTCCTGCAGTAACCTCGACTATTTCTAGCATTGTTTGCATGGCTGAACCTTTCCCAGAGAAGAGCTTCTTTACACATTTACAAGGTGGAATTGAAAAGAATCCCCTTCAGTTTCTGCCAGAGTCTGAAGTGCAACAGCAGGGCCCAGCTCAGGGAAAACCGAGTCCAAAGGGGTGAGGAGTGGGTGGAATAACAAATCTCTGCCTGTGGGGCAGCACAGGAGGAGCTGGAATCTGTCCCTGGACAGGGCTGAGCTGCACTGAGCCACTGGGATCCAGGTGGGAAAAGGAAGGAAAATCAAAGGGATGAGTGCTCAGACTCTGAATTCCCTGTGCTGGATCAGGAGAGGGCACCAAGGAAAAGTCTGGAAGGTTCTGTTTGTAGAGTTAAAACCTCAAGCACGTCCTCGACACGTGGTGCTTGCTCTGTGGAAAAGGACAGGCTGTGACATGGAGATTGTCCCACTCCAGGATTCACTGGACACTCTGGGCAGGCAGGACAGGCTGGCAGGAGGGATGGGAATTCCCTTCAGGTGTTTTTCCCTGGAAGCAGGGGTTAGGAGACCCTGATCATCTGTGTCATTGCCTCCTCGTTGGTTTGAGATGGATCCTGCAGATACAAAAGGTTGGAAATTCCACAATTTTTCCATGAAGCAAAGAGAATCACACACAACTACAGGAGGAGACACTCCTGCACTTCCCTTCATCTTCAAAAATGTCTTTTTCCTGGATTTTACAGGCCAGGGACACAAAAATCCAAATACCTTCCATTAATTCGTTGTTTCTGGTATTTAGAAAGACTTTGCACTGGTCCAATATTTAGGAATGATTTTAGTTCAAAATAAGAAACATTCCCTAAAGGCAAAGCACTGCTCTAAAGCAACCACTGAACCTGTTCATTCTACTCCATTGTGGCCATCCCTTTGAAAAATGCCTTTTACACAAATCAAGATGCAGCTAAGAATCAGATATTCCCATTTTTCAATTTCCCATCAGATGTAAAGATAAGGTGTCTCTACCTTTAATTGAAAAAACACCCCAGCACCCAACCAGAAAGGCTGTTTAACAAACACAGAATGTTTGTGTGCATTTATTTATCCTAACAACTACAAAGTGAACACACTTCTATCCACATTATTGTCATTTAACTCCCTTGCTCTCCACAAGCAATTACAGGAGGGTTTTATTCCCAATTCCCAATAAATTTAAAGGCAGGGAAGGCTGAAAAATTCAGAGGAGGGGAGGATAAAGGTCAGCAGCCAAGCCCAAAAACCCAAACACAGCAGCACAGACCCCTCTGCTGTGTGTCCTGAAGGGCTGGAAGGGGATTTTCCCCAAACCCCACTGACCTGCATGTGAGGGCTGTCCTTTTCTTTGGGGGAGAAGAAGCGACCCCCCTCTCCCCTTTTCCTGGCCATGGCGTGCCTGTGCCTGGACTCGTGCAGGTATTTCTGAGACAGGGAGGGAAGGAGCAGGTGAGGGAGCAGCCACTCATCCACTCTCTGCATCTCCAGGGCAAATTCCCAGTCCCCATTGATCCCCTATCCCAGATTCCCAGTCACTGCTTTCCCAGGAGAAATTCCCAGTCCTGCCCCACAGATTCCCAGTCTCCATCCATCCCCTGCCCCACAGATTCCCAGTCACTGTTTTCCCAGGGGAAATTCCCACTCACTGCCATTTCAGAGGAAATTCCCAGTCTCCATCCATCCCCTGCCCCACAGACTCACAGTCATTGCTTTCCCAGAGGAAATTCCCAGTCCCCACTGATCCCCTATCCCAGATTCCCAGTCACTGCTTTCCCAGGAGAAATTCCCAGTCCTGCCCCACAGATTCCCACTCACTGCCTCTCCAGAGGAAATTCCCAGTCCCCATCCATCCCTGCCCCACACACACCATGCTGACAGTCAGTGCACGCTCACACACAACTCCAGCCACTCCCAAAAACACCCAAAGGTATCAGAATTATCCTCAAGACACTTTAAAACATTGACTGATGTAGCTGATTAACACCAAAACCACTGTAAAACTGAGGAACACCAAGACTCTAATCCTCATTTTCCAGCCCAGCAGGGATTCTGTGCCTTTGTCACAGAGCAAGATCTGAGTGTTAGATGTGAGTTTGATCCTCACCCTTCTCTCTTTGGGGATTTTTCCCTCTGCTTCCAGCTTGGCTCGTGCCTGCCTCCTCTTCAGGATACGGTGGTACTGCTTGGCATTGACATAGAGGGGCTCCTCTTCCAGCATCTCTGCTCCAGGCAGAGGGATCCTCTGGATGGCAGGCACTGAGCCAGCCCCAGGCACCATCTGTACAGAGGAGATGGTTTAATTCATGCAGCTCAGCACACAAAAAGGTCATTAAACACATATAAAAAAGCTCGTTAAAAACCTCAATATTGAAACACAAAGTGCTCAGGTAATGCAGCTACTTAAATGAAAAGGAGCAATAAAGCTGTTCTCCAACTGCAGAACCAAATTAAATAAATCAATTCTTTATCAGTTCTGATGGGTTTTCCTGATAAAGGGAAAATTTCAATACAATTCCTTGACTGTGTTGCTGCTTCTTGGACAATTAAACAAACAGGACATGGCTGGTGTTTCCCTTTCTTTTGGATTATCTCTTATTTCATTTTAGAGCATCTCTAAGCCAACACTGCAGAGCTGCTGACATCTAGTGGGGACCATCAACATTCAAGAGGCTCACACTACAAAAAATAGGAATTGGCAGGAAAAACCTCTATAAAGGATGGGAATAAATCCTAAGGGATCCTCAAGAAAACCAGAAGTGACTCAATTTATTTTAATCTTTGCTCATCAGCTCACAGCTCAGTTTGGATTTCAGTTTCTCGATTTCTGAGCTGCTGTGGGAGAGAGAAAATCCAGAGCAAAGATGACAGCAGGATCCAGGCCTTTGAAGGTGAAAATTTGTATTGTTTAAACTTTAAACTGATGGAACTTACAGAGAGGACTGACCACAGTGTCTGAATCTCAGCCAAGAGTTTGTCAGGATGGTTTGGCTTGGAAGGGATCTTAAGGATCACCCAATTCCATCCAACCTTCTGCCATGGGCAGGGGCACATTCCACTATCCCAGGGTGCTCCAACCTGGATTAGGATCCCTAATGGATGGAGCAGCCACAGCTTCTCTGTGCCAGGACCTCCCCCACCCTCCAGGGAGGAATTCCTTCCCAAAAATCCCACCCAACCCTGCCCTCCTTCAGCTTAAGAGCCATCCCCACTGTCCTATCCCTACCCTTGTGAAAATCCTGCTAGATCTGAGTACAAACAGCTCAAAGCTCAGCCTCCAGAGGCTGCAGTGGGAATTTCATACCTACCATGACCATTCCCCCTGAATTGACCACGTTCCCAGCCACTGGCAGTGTCACTGTGACCGTGCCCTGGCCACTGCTGGTGGTGTTGGTGTTGGCTCCTGTTTGGACAATCTGGGCTCCAGCCAGGCTGGCTGCAGGAATGGTGATCATGCCTGTAACAGGGACTGTAACTTTAAGGAAGTAGAACACAAAAGGAAAGGAAAAAAAAAAAAAAAAAAAAAAGGAAAAAAAAGAGAGAGGAAAAAAAAAAAAAAAGAAACGAGAACACGCACACAAAAAGAAGGGAACAGCATTAGTCCCACTTCTGTGTTTTACTCATTCATCCTTCCAAAACATGCAGAGAGTCAGGAAAAGTGTTGAAGTGAGGCATTAAATTCCAGCAGAATTCCTGGTTTTTGCATTTGTAACCTCACTGTGAGTAGCTATGTACTCTTGAGGTGGAAAAGCAAAATTAAAGGGTTTTATTCCACCAACCCTTGCCAGAGACAAGGAGATTTTCTGTTTTTGGGAAAGAACCCTGGAATGAATTCCTGCAGAGCACACAAACACCTCAATAAATTAAAAGCCTCTCCAAGAGGTGTCCTGGCTCCTCCCAGCCCTCCTACCTTGCTGCAGGATGGTGCCATCAGCATTCACAGGCTGGTACACGATGGTCTGGCCTTCAGCAGCCTGGGCAACCTGCTGGCCTTGCACTGCTATCTGCTGCTGGGTCTGAACAAAACAAAGAGCACAAAAATGTTACAAATCGCCCTTTTTTTTCCCAGTGGTTACAATTGCTGAATGAACACATGGTGCTTGAGGTGTTCCAGGTGTCTATTTCTGTTGCCTCGTTAGCAGCAGTAAGAAATAGGCTGGAGCACAGAGCAAATACCTGGAGATCAAACACCTGAAGCACATGTAAGATGCTTTTTCCAACAGTTCAATAATGAAAAAAAAAAAAAATAAACAAATTCTAGGTTTCCTGTCTCACTGTGAACCAGAAAGAACTGTTCTACTCCGAATTTGAATTTTGGCCCTAACCAAAAGCATCAGCAGAAACCCCAGGTGTGACTGGACTACTGCACACAATGGCCCAAGTATGGAATTAGCAATGCTTCATGTTTTCAAAATTCAACAAAGAGACAAAAACAACCACGAACCAATAAAATACAGAAACACGATGGAGAAAAACATGCAATCTAATTTTTCTGCCCCAGAGTCATGTATGAAACACTACAAAAACATGACACTTCATCTCAAGTTCTCCTCAATATTAATAATTCCTTCTTTTTTTTTTTTTTTTTTTTTTTCACTTAACCACATTTTAAGTTCATTTGTCAAGTTTCTCTTCCTGCTCCTCTGCAGAAAAGCCTTTCATGCTGGTGCAGTTACCTGTGTCTGGCCAGCAGTAACTGCAGTCTGGGGCTGCTGTATAATGATCTGCTGGGTCTGGCCCTGCTGCCCCTGTACCTGCACAGCCTGCCCACCTTGAATCTGAATCTGACCTGGCTGGACCAACTGAATCTGTGGAAGAAAGAGTCAGAAAGGAACATTAACTATGCCTCTGATTTCTCCCTCCTCACCTCAGCATGACCAAGTCATCTCTGAGGGTGATTTAGTGTTGCACAGAAAAAGGAAGCAGCGAGTTCTTCTCTTTTTTTTTTTCCAGTTGAAAATGAGGAGTTTTAATGGATTGCTCCTTGTGACACAGCCACACAGGGCAGAGGGAGCAGGGTGCTGTGTCACTGTGCTCCAGCACTTCTGCACTGCTTACACAATAAATCACTCAGGAGAAATCAATTATTCACATCCACTGGGAACAAATAGTCAGGTGGAAGAGGAGGACTAAGATTTAAGACATCTGTGGGGTGTTAATTATCCAGCACTCAGAAGTACTTCTGGGATATATCAAACTGTCCTCAGCTTTGCAGAGTCTTTGCACCACTGTGGAACATTCTTAGATTAAAAAAAGAAGAGCTGGAATATGGTTTGAAGTTTGTGTTTAAAAACACAGCTATGGATTTTCCTCCACCAACCAGACTGAGAAGAACCTCATACAAATTACAGTGATTTTCAACAAAGGAAATATTAAATAAACCTCTCAGAACACCAAGACATCATTTACCTTCCTGGACTGTGCTGGATTCCTAAATCCCACCCTAAATCATCAGGACACTTTCATTATGCCATGGTTACAGTTCTTCACTTTGCCTTTGAGGAACACTTCGACCACCTCCTTAAATTCACCAACTGTCTTTTAAACAAGTATTTACTTCCAAAAAAATCCATTTTCTAAACCTCCTTCACTACTGCCTTCTGTGCAACAGGGATGTTTAAATTCCCCTTCAGCCATCACATATTAAAGGGGCTCAAGCACAAGTTACTTGCAGGAAGCTTTCTTAAATAATTTTGTTTAAAATCCTTTCTGAGCCATAAATTGAACAGGTACCAGATCCCCAGCTACACTGCAAGGGCCAGATAAAATATCCCAACAAACAAAAATCCAAAATCCTGCTCTTGGAGAAGGTATCCCTGCCTATGGCAGGGGGTGCAATTGGATGAGCTTTGAGGTCTCACCCAACCCAAATCATTCCACGATGAAAAACCCCAAACCAACCCAGCTTGATCTAAAACAATCTAAATTGATGGAAAACGTTTGCACCAGGCCATAAAACATAAAAATGAGTTCATAAAGGACTTGCACTCATTCCCACCACACCAGAGCCACCAAGCACCTCCTCTGGCTGGTTCTGGGGTGCTGAGCTCTGTGTGGCAGTGGCAGCATCTCAAAGTGTCTCCAGGCTGTGCAGTGCCCCCAGGGGTGTTGGATTTTGCTCTTTTCTGACCCAGAGCTGGGGCAACTGAGAGGTGTTTTAAACAACTTTTATTCCATTTTCAGTCTCACATGAAGGGTGAGACAATACAGATGTTATAATTCACACCATCACAACCAAAAGCCAATTATTTCCTAATTACAACACAGCATTAGCATTTCTTGGCCTGTCAGCTTTTGTCACATCATGCTGTAAAATACCTTGAAGCCAATCACCTAAAATCACCCCTCATGGGTTCTATTACATGGTTCATATTTCATAGTTCAATTTCTCCAAAGAAATAGAGTCTTATTTAGTCTTATTTGCAAGGCCATCCTATGAAACTTTTTTTCCTAGCTCCATTTCTCTCTGAACAACATCTGTCCTGTTCCATGGCATTTCTAAGTCAGCATTTCTTATCTCCAAGATCTTATCCTATAAGATAAGTTATATATATATATTATATACATATATATATATATACATATATATAAGATGTCCTATCTCATCTCTTATCAAACACCTCTTATCTGTGTTTGCACACAGGTGTGTGATCCTTCTGCCAGGCCCTGAGAACTCTTTCCAAACCCATTTCCTTCCCCCCAGGGCTGTGTCTCACCTGCTGCAGCCCCTGTGTGCCCGACACTGGCACCTGCATGATGGTCTGGCCCTGGCCCCCGGGCACTGCCTGCACCATGATGGGCTGGCCCGTGGAGGTGATGAGCTGCCCCCCGCTCACCTGCACCATCAGAGGCTGCCCCTGCACCTGCAAACAACAAAGCAACAATGAAAAACCCACCAGAGCAGCCCCAGAGCTCACCTGTGCCCACGTGGGGGTAGAGGAATGGGGGAACAGGCACTGAGCTGCTTCAATGCAGCTGTGAGTTGTAGGATGTGCTGTGGGTTTAGGGAACTCTCTGCTGCTTTTGCAGTCCAGGCGTTATAAAGCATGAAAACCACGTTTTTCAGCCATAAGAACTATTTTCATGCACAGCCCAAAAGCAAAGTGGGATAAAAAAACTTCAGTGTTCACCTCACAATTACTCGTTTTCAATTCCTACTGAGAGACTCTGTTCTGACAGAGGTGGTTTCAGCTCTCTCCAATTTCATGCCTACAACATTCTCATTTCCAAACTGACACAGAGCATGGGATGTGCTGAGAGAAACTCTGTGGTTACTGAGGGAAATTGTAACTGGAGCAAGACTAAATGGAGTTCGGGGAGGAAAAGTCAAAGTGGGATGAGCAGCAGCCACTTCTGGGCCCAAAAAGGCTTAGACTGGAAATTATAAATATAAATATAAATATAAATATAAATATAAATATAAATATAAATATAAATATAAATATAAATATAAATGTGTGAGGGTGGGGAGGTCCTGGCACAGGGTGCCCAGAGAAGCTGTGGCTGTCCCTGGATCCCTGGAAGTGTCCAAGGATGGGCTGGACAGGGCATGGAGCACTCTGGGATAAGAGAAGGTGTTGGGGTTGGAACTGGCTGAGCTTTAAGGTCCCTTCCCACCCAAACCAGTCTGGGATTCTGTGGTAACTTTGGCCTGAGAATCTCTGGACTCTCAGACCTGGTATCTCTCTGGGAAAAAGGCCCATGAAAAGAAAATCAAGGGGAAAATCTCTCTGTTTGAACCCCCTCACCTGCCAAATCTCCAAATTCCCCAAACACATCTTGAAAAATTCTCTGCCTTCAAGGCCTAAATGCAAAATGAGTCTCATGAACTCGGGGATCACAAAATCCGATTTGTTTAGGAACAAGAGCATCACAATATGGTAAAGTCACCGAGTTCCTGGGGGTGAGGAGCCAAATCCTGCCCTGGGAATTTTGAGTTTCCAGGTCCCCACTCTGTCCCTCAGCCTGTCCATGTCCCATCCAAAGCCCTCAGCCCCTGGGCTGGATCACACAGGGAGGAGCATGCTCAGGTCAGCACAGAGAAGCACAGGCAGCAGCACAATATCCAAGAAGCAGAAAGGAAAACAAGACATTCCAGGATTTTTGTTAATGAATCAGAGCAAGGCAAAATAGGGGGAAAAAAAATTAAAAATGGTGGGGAGAACATAACAACAACCAGAGGCCCCAGTGAGCCCAGCAATCCAGGTCAGGCAGTTTTTGAGATTTGAACTCTGAACATAAAAAATGCTGTGTTAATTCTGCACCTGGCAGGACCATCCCAGCCCCTTGGAACCTCCCTGCCCTGAAGAATTACAAACCAAACAAAAGCCAGAACACTGAGTCCAAAACTGCCACGGCTGCCCAGGGTCTGACAACTGCTCTGCCAAGGGCTCCTGGAAAGCCTGGGTGAGTTAAGAAGTGGAGGCTGCAAGACAGGAAATCCTTCACACTGAAACTGATTTCTTTCCAAAACTCTGTTTGGATTCACATGGCTCCTGGGTTTCCCTGTGTTGTTCACAGGTAAATAAGAAACTGGATCTCTCAGTGCCACAGAGGCCAGTGCTGTCCCCAGGTGCCCTTTCAGTCACAGGTGAGAAGGTTCCACTGTCCCAGCTCAGGCTCTGGCACCACCTCTGTCTGTCCCATGCAGGGAAAGCAGAGCCCTCCTCAGGGAGCAGCTCAGAACCCTCATTTCCTTGGAATTACAGGAAATCTTTGGGGTTTATCCTGACTCATTTTAGCGTTTTTAACTTTGAAATCGTACTGAACCACAGAAATGAACCACTGGGGAACAGCTCCATGCCCATGGCAAACCCTACAGGCAGCAGCCAGCAGAGATTCCTGCTCCACATCCCCCTGCTCCTCCTGGAAAGCCTGGGAAAACACAGCATTAGATATGTGGTGCTGGGGAGGGGCATGCAGTGCTCAGAAACACAATCAGAGAGGTCACCACTACCTGGAGGGTCTGGACTTGCTGGCCTGAGGCCGATGCCACCTGGGCCTCAGTCTGCAGCTGGACAGCTGTGACACCTCCCTGCTGCTGGGAACAGGAACAGGGACAGCTTGAAACATGGAAATGCACAACACACTGCTGGGACAGGGGGGTGGGGTTCATACACACTGCTCCAGGAACAGCAGGAATGGGAATTTCGGCAAACCTAAGGATGGAGCTCCCTGGAATTGCATGTGGCACTGCCAGGCTCCAACATCCCAACTCACAGGGAACAGGAGGGAAAATTCTGCAGGATTTCAAGGTTTTAGTTTTGGAGTTTCAGGCTTCAATATCCCAACTCGCAGGGAATAGGAGGGGAAAATTTTGCAGGATTTCAAGCTCAGTTTCAGGGTTTTAGTTTTGGAGTTTCTGGCTTCAATATCCCAACTCACAGGGAACAGGAGAGAAAATTTTTCAGCATTTCAAGCTCAGTTTCAGAATTTTAGTTCTGAAGTTTCAGGACTTAATATCTCAACTCACAGGGAGCACGAGGGAAAATTCTGCAGGATTTCAAGGTTTTAGTTTTGAAGTTTTAGGCCTCAATATCCCAACTCACAGGGAACAGGAGGAAACATTTTGCAGGATTTCAAGCTCAGTTTCAGGGTTTTACTCTGCTCACTGGCCAGGTTTGGCACTGTGAAGGGTTCCAGATTTTGGGCACACTGGTTTGTCCCTGTCTGAGCTCATCTGTGCCACCCCTGTGTCAGTGTCTGCCCACCAGTGACCCCGAGGGACAGTCTGGACAGGCTGCAGGAGCAGACAGAGCTAAAAGCCTTTTCTATCTTTAGCCTCTTTGCTAAGAGTCCCAAAATATTCCCAGTAACTGTTAGCATGGGGAGATGAAGCACAGCTCCCTCCCAAGTGCTGCAACAGGCTGGTAAAACAAATTATTTCAGCAAAATGTTTCATGTCAGACACAGGATTTAAGAAGTTGCACTGCAAATGAAAGCCAAGAGATGGTTTTATCTCCATTTCTCTAGAAAATGTCAATAAACCAACTACATCTTTGCTTATCTGCTGCAAACAGGTATTTTGGATAATCCTTAATATAAAATGTTTTAATCTCAAGTGCAATCTTGTTCTGGCTGAAAAAGTCAACTCCAGCTAAACCCAGTGGAAGGATTTGGTCCCTGCTGAGGCCAAAGCAAAGCAGATCTCCCTGAAAACATCACCCAGGGATGAATGGCAAACCACCAAACCCCCTTGAACTAGAACAGAAATGCAACAAAAATTCAGCAGCAGCTGAAAATACAGCCCCAAATCTGAATATGGAAAGCTTAACAGCCAAAATCAGTAAGTCCTCAAAACTCAGCCCTGGTATTTTGCACATTGAAACATGAATTTCTTCGTGGGATGGATGAGTTCATCCAAAGCTGCATGGTTGGTTCAATTCCTGTTCTGTGTGTTTGTTTTGCTCCACCTGTTGTTCTGAAACAAAGAATCTCTACAAATGTTCATTTGATAAAGCTGGAGGAAATCTCTATGGGCCTCAACAAAATCTATTTCAACTTTGGGAGAATTTTTCTTGTTGACAATTAATTGTTTCTGTTAATATTCTGTTTGCTCCATTTTCAGAGATGTTTTAATATATTTTTATATGTCTTTATATTTTACTTTCCCCATGTCACTACCATTTTGCAAACTCCCTGAAACACTGAAAACTCCCTGCTACACTGAAATTTGGTCACTCGGGTACTTTGTACACTTGAAATTCAGGTACTTGCACTGCAGTTTAATTTTAATTTTATGTACATTTTATAAATTTTATTTTATTTTTAAAATACAGTACTTGTATTTTAAAAACCACATTTACTCTGACTTCCAGGCAGGTGCCACCAGTGCCCAGGTGACAGAAGTCAGGTGAGCAGGTACCCAGGAGGATCAGGATTGTGCTGCTGTGCCCCTCTGAGGGATGCAATTCCCACATTCCCACATCCCCACATCCCATACCTGCTGCTGGATCTGCCCTGCCTGCACCACGATCTGCTCTGTGGAGCTGCTGCTGTTGGCTGTGTACTGCTCCATGCTGCCTCAGCCCCTGCAAGACAAGCAAAAAAATCAGGTGATGTGCTGTCCCCAGGCTCAGGAATTGCCCCTCTCCCCCTGCAGCTGCCAAGCCAAGCAAACCAGGAGCAAAGCTCCCCCAGAGCTGCTCCATCCCAGCAATAAACACAGGGGGCACTTCAGGCACATCCAGCCCGAGTGAGCAGCAAAACCACCTCAATTCTGTCCCAGATTCCACGGACTCCACCAGTTCTGAGTCTGCACATCCTGGGCTCCAGCCAGGAGTGTCACTGCTGGAAAAGCCTCAGGAAATGCAACATTTAGGTGTGAAACCAAACTGCACTTCAAGAATTCGGTTCCCACTGCACACCACGCTCTCCTCATTCTTCTTCCCTCTCCTCCTGCTCTCATGGAATGGTTTGGGTGGCCAGGGACACCTTTCACCATCCCAGGCTGCTCCAGCCTGGCCTTAAACACTTCCAGGGATCAGGGGCAGGCACAGCTCCTAACCCAGGGCATCCCCACGCTCACAGGGAGGAATTTCTTCTCTAAAGAACTATTTATATACTCAAATATATCCTTCGTGTATTTTAGGAACCACCAGCAGATTTCCCAGCACCTCCATCCTCTTGCTGCCTCTCACTCCTCGGCCCTTTCCCTGCACTCATCAACGACACTGTGCTGAAATAAAAACATCTTTTCCCTGCCACTGCTTCTCTCCTCACTGGCCCAACGACAGCAGAATTCCTGCTCTAGTGAGGTGTTTGATTTATGCCACGACTGAACAAGTTCCTGCTACTCTGCTGAAAGAAAACACAGCCTGGAACGTTAATTTTCCAAATCTAAAGCAACAAAACCTCTGGCTCCCTCAGTTTTTCAAGGAATGCTGGCAGGATTAAGTCCCAGACTCTCTGTACCCGTTGCTGTGGTTACTGCTGCTGTTTGAGCTCCATCCTTTGCCCATTTCCTGACACTTTTTCACAGCCAGAATAAAAGAAGATAAATATTCCTTCTGAAAATGCTGCTCATTTCAATTTCACACCGGATACTTCATTTCTGCCTTAAATTAAAATCTTTAATTAAAACATTAACGGCTCTGTAATCCCAGCAAGTTCTGGACAAGGTTCTACCAGTGCTGGATCCTCACCCTCCGAGGGATTATCTCATCCCTTCATTAAACAGAGAGTGGCCAAGTTAAATATTAAAGATCAGGGATCAATCAATGGCAGAGGATGGCAGCTCCTCCCCCAGTGAGCTCATGGGCAGCTCCTCCTCACCGGGAATGCTCCAGGAACCACGGACTGCTCCAGTTCCAGCAGCACATATTTATATAGATTATATATGTATAGTTTAAATATACACATATATAGAGACTATAAGTGTACATATTTATATATATTAAAAATATACTGAGTTTTATGGGACTCATTAGGATCATCAGATTCCTGGAGCTCCAAAAATACAAATATTTATATATAGATACATAACTTATATTTCTACAAATATAGCTGCAGCGGGAACAGTTCCCTCACCAACCAACCCCACACCAAAGCAAAGCAGAGCCATGAGCAGCCCGGGATGTGCAGAGCATGCCCGTGCCCGTGTCCAGCCCGGAGCAGAGCCCCAGACGGGCACAGCCGGTTCTGTTGCCGTGTCCCGCTGCTCGCAGGACACCGCCGAGCCGCACGCCCACCCCTAGGCCGGGCTTTAACGGGGGCGGGCTGAGCACGACACGCTGAGCCCAGCTTAGCCCTGACTCCTTGTGGAATGCAGGGATAACCCAGCGCCGTCGTCTCAGTGCGGGAAGCCCCGGCCCGGCCCTGCTGCCGGAGCACCGCGTGCCCGGACACATCAGGGAGGCGGCACCGCGCACAGCGACACCGGACGGGGCAGCCCGGGCCCCTCTGCCAGCGGGGAGGCTCCCGGGCAGGGCGGGGCGCTGCGGGACCGCCGGGGGAAAAGGCCGGGCCCCGCTACGGCGCCCGACCCCGCGCCCCCGGCCCAACCGCGGAGTCCCCGAGCCCGCTGCTCGCAGCCCCGCGGCCCCAGCGCGGCCGAGCCCGGCCCGGCCCCGGTTCCCCCCTCAGCCCCTGAGTGGCCGCGGCCCCGCCAATCCCGGCGCGCGGGGGCTCCATATTGGCCGCTCGCGCTCACCGTGCCGCGCTGCCCGGTCCGCGCCCCGCGCTGATTGGCTCCGCCGCGGGGCCCCGAAGCCCAATCAGCGCCCGCACTCGCCCGCCGCGCAAAATGGCGCCCAACCGCGGACAAAGGGGGCGAGGGGCGGGGCCCCGCCCGGCCGCGTCTGCCCAACCGCGCTCCTCGGCCTGCCCGACGCCGCTGCGCCTGCGCGGGGGTCGTGGCGCGCAGGCGCGGGGCGGGCCCCGCCCAGCCCTGGGCTCCGCCCCCCGGCCGGAACGCTCCGCGCTGCGACCATGGAGAGGATCCGCCCGCCCGCGCGCGCGCGGGGAGCGGCGCCGCCGCCATGTCGTGTGGGGCGCGGCCGCCATGTTGTGTGCGGCCATACCGCCTTGTTGTGTGGGGCCATACCGCCGTGTAGTGTGCGGCTTTACTGCCGTGTTGTGTGAGGCGATACCGCCGTGCTGGCTGAGGACGATCCGCCAAGTCTCCGAGAAGCGGATCCACCATTTCGCCGCGAGGCGGGGCCGCTGAGGCGATACCGCCAAGGTCCCCCCGAGGCGGAGCCGCCGTGAGGGCTGAGGCGGTACCGTGTGGCCGTGAGGCGGGGCCGTGTGGCCGTGAGGCGGGGCCGCCCTTGCGGCTCGGCCGGAGCGATGTGGGCGTTGCTGGGCAGGCTCGGCGTGGCGCAGGCCGTGGGCCCGGCCCGGTTGATCGCTGTGCGCCCCGCGGGTGCGGCGGCCGAGCGGCCCTGAGGGGTGGGAGGGGGAGGAGGAGGAGGAGGAGGGTGATAATGGTGATGAGGAGGAGGGCAGCAGCCTGGCGGTGCCTTTTGTGCGGTGACCCAGGGCTGGGGCCTCCTCCCGGGCCAGAGCTGTAGGCGCAGTGGGACTGGCATCTTCAGGGGTGTCATGGTTGTCCCGCTGTCACAGATTAATCAGGCTTACCCTCGCCCCCTCTAACACACTTACTGCCTAGCTTGAGGTTCCTAATAATTGTTTTTCTCTCATCTTTCCAGCCGCAGGAGCCTTCTCCATACCCCACGTTACCATGGCCACCCACTTCTCCAAGGATCAGGAGGAGAGAGTGCGTAGGAAATGGGTTACATGGGATATTATTGTCTGTGCAAAGAGCCTTCCCCTCATCACAGCCCTGACAGCACGGCACTGCCTGCATCCTGCAGCTTTTGGGAGCAAAGTGGCTGCCGGTGCTGAATTCTGTGTGCTTTTTGTGTGTAATGTCAGTGGGGCAGAATCTGTGCAGCAGCACAGAGCTCACCTGCCTGCCTGAGCACCTCCAGACTGGTACTGCTGGAGGGGTTTCACTAATCCAGCTGTGCTCTCTGCCACATAATTACCCTTATAAGCTTTGATTTTGTAAAATTACCTGCTGAGCTGGCACGTGGTCCTCCTTAGTGATCTTGTTGAGAAGGTGTAGTGGGTTTGTAATTCTGTGTATGGGATGTGTAATTCTCTGTAGTGGGTTTGCAATTCTCTGTAGTGGCTTTGTAATTCTCTATATTGGGTTTGCCATTCTATGAGTTGGGGTTGTAGTGCTGTGAATTTGGTTTGTAAGCCTGCCTGTGGGGTTTGTAATTCTCTATATTGGGTTTGTAACCCGTGCCAGCTCAAACACTTGCACCCTGCACAGCGTACTCAAACCCTGCCCCTATTGCTGCCCAGTCCCTGCTCCCCAGAGCCCCGTGTGCCCAGGTGTGCTGTCTGAGGAGGTTTTGTTGCCCCTGCTGTGCAGATCAGGTGTGTGAAGGGGGACCTGTTCTCGTGCCCGAGCACGGATGCCCTGGCTCACTGCATCAGCGAGGATTGCCGCATGGGCGCCGGCATCGCCGTGCTCTTCAAGAAGAAGTTTGGAGGCGTCCAGGAGCTCCTGGATCAAAGTGAGTGGTGCCTGAAGGAGCTCCTGATTTCCAGCAGGGAGGGTGTTGGAGATGCTTGGGTTATGGAGTGTGGCTCTTTTAAAAACACCTTGATTTTTGTGCTTTAGAGAAGAAGACGGGGGAGGTGGCAGTTCTGCAGAGGGACGAGCGGTACATTTATTACCTGGTAAGGGCTGGGGTGGCACTGGGTGGCACTTCCCTGGAGCTAAACTCTGTCACATATCAGGCATTAATAGCTGTGGGGGTTTTGGTCATGTTCATGGAATCAGGGAATCACATAATGGTTTGGGTGGGAAGGGACCTTAAAGCTCATCCTGAGCAGGGACACCTTCCCCTATCCCTGGGTGCTCCAAGCCCTGTCCAGCCTGGCCTTGGACACTTCAGGGCTGAGCCAGTCACGGCTGCTCTGGGCACCCTGTGCCAGGGCTTCACCACCCTCACCGGGAACAATTCCTTCCTAATATCCCATCTAACCCTTCCCTCTGGCAATGTGAAGCCATTCCTGTTCTCCTATCACACCAGGCCCTTGTAAATTGTCTGTGTCTTGTTGGCTCCCTTTGGGCACTGCAATGTTCTTCTCAATAAGAGATGTACCCTCAGACATTGCTGGTGAGGAGCAGCCAAGCTGTTCTGTGCATCTGCATTTCACCTTTACCTGGACAGAACTGGCTGCTAAATTAGAGTGTTTTAAGCTAAGAAACGTTAGTTCTTTGCTCAGGTCTTTCCACAGAGACAAGTCTGGGCATGGAGTTTTGGCTATCATGGAATGTGTGTTTTGTAACAGCATTTATAACAGACAGAAGTTTGCAGAGGTCGTGCCTAAGGCACTGCTGAGCTTCTCTATTTTTCTGTAGATTACAAAGCAGAAGGTTTCTCACAAGCCCACGTATGAGAACATGCAGAAGAGTTTGGAAGCCATGAAAGCTCACTGCCTGAACAATGGAGTCACTGACATCTCCATGCCCAGGTGAGGGGCTCAGGAGCTGGAATGCCAATGCTGGGGTGTTTAATTTCTAGAAGGATATCTGGGGGATGATCTCCTGCTGTGAAATAAGAATTCAAGTATCCACCTCCATCCAACTCCCCTGTTCAATTGGGCAAATCTAATTTGCATTGCCCTGTGCATTTCAATAGTAGCAAAGCACATTCGAGCTGTTTCCTTGTTCTCCTCATGTTTTGAGGGTTTATGGGGAGCTGAGGCAGGGCCTCCTCAAAGTGCAGCTGGTTGGGCACAGCACAATGCTCCATCAGCTCTTTTGCTGCTTTATCTTCCAGGATTGGATGTGGACTCGATGGCCTGCAGTGGGAAAAGGTGTCAGCCATCCTTGAGGAAGTGTTTGACAACACTGACATCAAGATCACAGTTTACAGCCTGTGAGCAGAACAAAGATCCCCATTTCCCCCAATTTTGGGAGCAGAACCTGTGAACTGACAACGGGGGACCTGTGTGGGGAGCACGTTCTGGTGTCACTCACGTGTGTGACAGTGACAGTGGCTTCCAGCAGCAGCAAGCTCCAGAGAAGCTCATTTGGGGCTGTTAATTAGGAGGCAGCGGCGCTGTGAACACCCTCGGGGAGCTCCCAGTGTGTCCCTGCAGCCACCAGGTGTCACTGGGGCTCCACGCAGTCACACGGAGCCGCTGCCTCGGGGTTTCTGCTTGGCTTGGTGCTGGTGAGCTGCCCCAGGCAGCGCTGCCACCTCTGCTTTGTTCTCTTTGCCATGTCCTGCCTGCCTGGCACTCGGGTCACTCAGCTGCTCTCACAGGAGGAACGGTTTCATTTCTTCCTTCTGGCCACAAATTGGGTTTGTTGAGATCGTGCTCACTCAGGATCATGGTGTGATGTTTAAATAAACAGTGCCCTGTTGTTGGACTGGTACCTGTAGCTGTTCTGGGGACAGGCTGGCATTGCAGGGAATGCTGGAGGGGAGTGAATACATCTGGTGGGTGTGTTTATCCAGCAGCTCTATAATTTATAATCTGCAGAGCTTGGTTTGGTGAGGATCCAAACAGGTTGGTGTGCTCTAAAAACTCACAGGATGGAGTTTGAGGTGGGATTTTCACATTTCTTTGTTTGGTGCATTTGTAGTCCAGGTGTTACACTAAGGTTGGTGTTTGTCACCCAAAACAAAAACAAATCAGTACCACCCCTGGTTCCTGAGATGCATGGAAAACTGATTTGGAAGAGTTTGTTCCAGAACTGAGGAGCTGCCACAGACATTTCCTTCGTGTTTGCTTTCCTACCCTCCCACAATAACAAATCTTTTGGACTTCTGTCATTCTGAATGCTCAGAAAAGTGCCAGGTGTGTTGAAGAAATATAAAAATGGGACATGAGAGTTGGGAAATTTGTAGCATGATAGGGTTCCCAATGGGATTTCCTTGGTTACTCAGTTCTGTGGGGCTTTTTGCTGTTGCAAATCCTGATTAAGATCTCCCTGTCCTTACTCTCCCTGTTCCTTGCCCATATTTTGTAAATATTTGGTGGGGAATTGCTGTAGCTGGGAAAAACAACCTTGGACAAAGAGGAATTTGGAGCAATGAGCTGATCCAGAACAGGCACTGAGGCTGCTCATGGATTCAGTCCTTTCCCTTTATTTGTGTCTGGGTTTTTGTTCTGGTTCCTTATTCATGGCATCCCCATGAGCTTTGTTTTACATGGAAAACGATCCTGCTCTCCAACACTCGTGTGTACTCTGGAAATTTTTTTGGCATTTAGTTCTCCCTTCCCAGCTACAAAATATTCCCTGTGTGGCTGTCCTGGGATGTCCTTGAACTCAGACTTGTCAGGTTCAATTTAGGACTTCTTGCAAGTAGAGAAGAAGGAATAAACAGTGCTTTGGTTTTTGCAGTGGCTTCCCATTTTATTTCACTTTGCTTTTCCCAGGTTTATATCCCAAACATCATTGTTTGATATCGAGTTTTTGGGCTCCATCATGATTTGGAAGAGAGCTGTTGGCCCTGAGTTAAATCACAGCTCTGACTATTGAGGACAACAAAGGGAGAAAACTTCTTTTTCACCTTAAATCCCTTTCTTTTCCCCTTTCTAATGCATTTATCTAACCAGCAGCTTTGTTCTAAGATCTCTTCCCATGAAATATTCCCAGAATGTGATCCCACAGCCTGCCTGTGGATCACTGCCATCCCTTTCACCACAGCATGGGTTTGGTTGGGGCAGGGAGGGGGAGGAACAAAAAACACCCAAAAAATTCCAAACACCAGAGGTCTGTGTTGTGTGTGTGTGTGTTTGGAGTCCCACAGGGCCTTGTCTCCCAGAGGTTGGTTCTCCATCCTGCTGGAATCAAAGCCTGGGGAAGCAGGACTGTCCCACGTGTCCAGGTCTGTCACATCTCTTCATGGATCCTTTCTGATCCTGGGGGGGAAAAAGAGACATCCTGGAGACTCAGAGGTGACTCTTCAGTACCTCACAGAAAAGGGAATTCTGCAACAACTGGGGTTTCTTTTAATGGTGTTTTTTAGGGTTAGACTTTGGGCTGTGAGTAAAATCCCCTCCAATCTCCATTCCTCTCTCTGCTGTCCTGAGTTTCATCCCTGTGAGGAGCAGGGAGGTGTTTTGGTGATCCTGGAACCTTTTTATTTATTCCTGGAGGAGAATATAGAAAAGCACTGAATCCCTTGGGAATGTGTTTGTCCAACAGACTGTGGACACTGCTGTGGAAGGAGAACTCCAGCAATATTAAGAGAAATTGGAAACTAAATTAGAGGGGAATTAATGAGTGACTCACCTGAGCCTCAATGCAAGATCTCAGCCAGCTTCTCCTCGTAGTACAGGAAATTCTCCTGAATATCCTCCCAGGGCACGAAGGACTTGGCCTCCTCCCCTTCCTCCTGCTCCACAAAGTTCTTCCACACATACTCAAAGTCTTGAGGCTTCATAATCCTCAGCTTGCAGCCGGCCTCCTTCATGCTCCTGAGGGCCGCCTGCATCTCGGGTTCCTCCCACATGAAGAGCCTGCCCACCATGATGGTGAGGCGCAGCCCCTTGTTCTTGCGCAGGGCCTCGCAGATCCTCTGGGCGCAGGTGACGCAGGGGCTGGAGGACACGTACCAGGTGACATCGTGGCGGGCACCGGCCTGGCAGGTGGGCAGGATGGTGTTGAAAAACGCCATCTCCGCGTGGGCGGCCGCGTGCTCGTCCTCCAGGTAACCCCGGCTCGTCACCGCCTCCTTGCCCTGCGTCTCCACCACGTAGCACAGGAAGGTTTTGTTCCTGCCCGAGCTGTACTCCACGTTCCTGAACTGGAATTTGAAGAAGATGGCTGGGAGGCGTTCCCTGGTGTGATAATTGATAAAAGATTGGTGTTGATCACAAAAGCATTGGGGTTTGTATAAACCAGAATGCTAAGCTCTGAAGTGAAGCATGGACACTAGATAAAGGAAATTATATGATAAAATCATTCTGTTTAAAATCACCTTGTTATGCTACATTATGTTATGTTATCTTATATTATGTTTT